GAAGCATAGAGAGTCCCAAATAAAACGGATGTAAAGAGGCCCACTCCAAGACACATCATAATTAAAATACCAAAGATTAAAAATAAAGAGATAATCTTAAAAGGAGCAAGAGAAAAGCAGTTATTTGCCTACAAGGGACCTCCCAAAAGACTGTCAGCTAATTTCTCAAAAGAAACTTTGCAGGCTAGAAGGGACTGGCAAGAAATATTCAACATCATGAAAAGCAGGGACTTATATCCAAGTCTGCTCTACCCAGCAAAAGTGTCATTTAGAATAAAAGGGCAGATATAAAGTTTCCCACACAAGAAAAACTAAACTTCATCATCACCAAACCATTATTATATGAAATGTTAAAGGGACTTTTCAAGAAAAAGATGATCAAAACTATGAATAATAAAATGGCAATAAATACACATCTATCAACAATTGAATCTAAAAAGCAAAGTAAGCAAACAAGAAGAACAGAGAGAGATTCATGGGTATGGAGAGCATTTTGATGGTTGCCAGATGGGGGTGGGGTATGGGAAAATGGGTGATGAGGGAATGAAGAGGTGAGGGAATTAAGAAGTACAAATAGGTAGTTACAGAATAGCCATGGGGATGCAGAGTACAGTATAGGAAATGAAGTAGCCAAAGAACTTATACACATGACATGTGGACATGAACAATGGTGGCAGGATTGCCTGAGGTGGTGCTGTGTGTGTAAGGGGGCCAAGGGGGAAAAACGGGAACAACTGTAATAGCATCAATAAAATATAATTAAAAAATAAAATCTCAAAGCCATGCGCGCGCGCACACACACACACACACACACATACACACATATACGCATATATAGTGAAATTCAGCAAGTATGTAAATAGATGGCAGAAGCCAGATTACTCACTGTCCGGAGTGGGAGTTTTCAGATAAGCAAGAGGATGAAGCTAAAGTGAATCATGCGGTAGTGAATAGAGTTGGAGACACCAGGAAGAACTTATTATTACCTTATTGTAGACAAAGATAGTTACATATAGAAATACTTATGGATATAGGTATATATACATATGTGAGGTGTGTCCAGAAAGTATCCAGCCATGCACTATGAAAGAGACATTTATTGAAGAGGATACAAGATACAAGAAACATTGTACACAGGACAATGATGCCTCAGTCCCTAAGTAGGCACCTTGGGACGTCACACAGTTCTCCCAGTCACCATCTACTACCCTGTCGTGTTCTAACAAATCTCATTGATGGTCTGAAGTCTCTTCTCTTTCAAAGGTGATTTTAGTTTTGGAAAAAGCCAGAAGTCACAGAGTGCCAAATTGGGGCTGAAGAGTGCCTAAGTCACCTGGGTAATTCTCTCAAGAGAGCAAGTCAAAGAGAGCAAGTAAAATACCTGGGTAATTAGGTATTTCGCCAAAAAACTGTGCACAAGACGTGATGCATGAGTGGGGACATCGTTGGTGCTGAAGCTGCCTATCACCCGTTGGCCATAGCCACAGCCTTCTGAATCATCAGAATAGTTTCTGTGGAGGAACGTTCATGTTTGACACAAGACTTCATGCAGATTCATTGCCCTACTCACTCAGTCATTTTGAATGCAAAGGCCACACGCTACACATGCTCACTCAATGGTGTCTATGGCCCCCCCCCCCCACAGTACAGTGAAGTCATTATTCATACATGTGCATTTCAGTCCCCTCTCCTTGGCTGCCAGGTTATCGATGCCACTCAACCCGTTCTCATATTAACAATGGTTGGACTTTTCCAGACAGACTTCATATTTCTCTGTCAGCTGAAAGGGCCTAGATGCAGCAACATCCCACTAGCAACAAGCACACCTAGTTCCAAGGTCTTAGTTTCTAATACCATTCTCCAAAAAAGAGAATGAGAGTTCTGTGACTGATTCTAGGAATGGGGCAGGAAGCACAGAGAGTGAGTACAGGGCATTTTATTGTGCTGGAAAGTAAGTGCTCAAACATGTATGCGTGCGCGCACACACAATTCTATACCAAAGGGATGTAGAAGGCAATTCGAAGAGTTATTTTAGTGAATATAATAAACCAGTATTTTTTGGTATCTTATGGGCAAACAAAAGAGGTTCACTCTGAATATTCTTTTAATTTCTAAAATTAATGCAGAGTGAATAATAAGGATTGCATAGCCTAAAGTTTAATACTCTCTATCATACATTATTTAATTAAGCTATTAATAAAATATAAGATCTATTACAGCAAATTTTTGGTACATGATTAGACATCTTAGTACAAATTAAAGTTACCAAAAAAAATCAGGAAGAATAACAAGCAAAATACTTCTTAAGATTAGTTTGGATTATGAAGGAATTAAGTTTAGTTAAAGCTGTAGTTGTTTCTTTCTAGCAGTAGATGCCAGTAGAGTTCTTTTTTTAATAAAAATCAAATTCCTAAGTACTTCCATAGCAACAGCTTCCTGCTCACATAACCATATATAGATACATTGCTCTGAGAGCTAAAGATTATTTCTGTAAGGACTTTGTAACAAATGGAAACAGTTTTATTTTCTTTAAAAAAGTACAGATTTCAAACTAGTGCTTTCTAGATACCCATCCAGTGAGGCTTACTTTCTTTTTTGTTTCTATAGTAATTTTGTTGTAAGGTTTATGCATTAAGAAAAATTAATTAATCTTAGTGTTCTAGTTAGGAATTTGAAGTATCTGTACTATATAAATCTGGCTAGACATGTGGTGATAAAAATGAATACGGTGAGGCTGAAATGGTAGGATTAGTTTGTGCATTTGGCAAGGGAATATGGTGAGTATAATATTTTGGGGAAGTTAATATGTCAGAGATGAGTGATTGAAAGGAATGACTGGAAGCAGAGAAAACAAGAAGTTATTTTAGAAATTCACATTTGCATTAATAAAAATGAAACTCAAAGAATGAATAAAAATTAGTAACTGACTGAATATAGAGAAAAAGGAGTTAAATGACATTACTTGTATTACAGTTGTTTATACATATGAACAACTTGGTATTTGTTGGATAATTTACAACTATGATCCTATCAAAATTAAAATATTTTCAAGTGTTTTATGATTCAACTTTGACTTTTAATTTGTTAAAAATGAATAGATACTTCAGCATATATTTATTGAATATGTAACACATGCATTGAATTTACTAGTCCAAGTAATTCACTTTTGGATACATACATTTATAAACAAGAAATTTTAACATGAATTTATAAGATCAGTGGAAACCAGAGAGAGCAGTTTATTTTTCTAGGAAGTATATGGGAAACTTCAGTGAGGAGGTGACATTTATGGTGAGCCTTGAGGGTGAATAGAAATTCTCTCAAGAGAGCAAGTCAAAGAATTCAGGAATTTTATCTGTTTCTGCCCATACAGAGTCAGTCCGTGCTCTGTAACTGTTTAAAGACTGCGGACACTTGTTGGGTGTCTGTTTTGTGTTAAAGCACTGTCAGATGTTAAAGCAAATGATCTGTTATTTTATACACATTTATAAAGAAAGCTACAAATTTAAATTTAGTCTTAGAGATAGTGTTATTTATTTGTTTAGATTGATATTAATTTTATTACATATAACAGTGTGCATAAATAAGCTGTTACTTGGAAAAATTCATTTCACAATGTTTTGTGTGTGTATGTATATCATAAGTTGTTTCATTTGATTACATTTTTGTTCCGATGTATCCTATTTGTCATTATTTTAATTTATTCTCTTTGTCAAGTAGCTGGCAGAAAGCTTAGACTAAGATATTTTTTAGATAGATTTTTTAAAAAGATTCTTTCTTCTTCCTTTCCTGCTCCTCTTCCTTCCTTCTCTCTCTCTCCCCATCTCCCTCCCTCCCTCCGTCCCTCCCTTCCTTCTCTTATTTAGAATTTCTAAAGAGAAAACCACACAAACTTCTCATTTTTTAATTAGTGTAAAAAGGCAAGTACTCAAAATCATTGCTTTATATTACAGGTTACTTTTTTCCCCTACAAATCAACAGTAGTAAAATTTATTTTTAATTGAAGGAGCTGTTTCTATGTGAGATGCCTAAATTAGGGATAAGATAAGATGTACTTATCCATATTAAGTTTAAAAGTTTACGGGGGAAAGAAGGGGAAGGGGCAAGCAAAGGAACATGAATAGAGGACTCAAGGGCACAGACAATGGGGGAAATTGCCTGGTAGTGGGGGTGGATGAGATTGAGGTGAACAATGGGGAAAAAAGCAGGAAAACTAACCGAACAGAAATCAATTAAAAATACATAAATAAAAATATGCCTCAGTCAACTAGAAGGATTTTTTTTTCCTCTCAATTGAAATTTCTTGCTATGGCTGATTTTATATAATTTTAAATCTTATATGTTGTTTTTAAATAACTTTTAAATATTTTCAAATGTACTGCTCATTTTTAAGCAGATTAAGTAGAGTAAGGCATTTGTAAACAGATTATAGATTTGATAAGCAATACTGACATACTTACTTTTTGAAGTTCCTGTATACATTAGACTTAGGTAAATGAGCTAGCAACACTCAGTTTTTTTTTTAAGTGCTAGTTCAGATTTTTTTTCTTAGTTAAACTATATGTATTATAAATTTGTTTGACAAATTTTGTAATATCTATTCCATACCAGTTTTTGATGAAAAGTTAACTGCTTATAAGGATTCATAAAATCTGTACATTAGTTGATTTCCTAGGGGAAAAAAACACCCATTTTAACATATTTTATTTGGAGAGTGGTTTGACCTTTAGTTGTTTGTATAAAGTTGTAATACATATTTAAATAGTTTTTCTTTTTTTAAAAAAATAGCCTACTATGTATATATAAAGTTTTATATTTAATGCTCTCATTAACTTGTGTATTAATATTAAAACACTCTTCACCACAGAGCATTTTAGGTCAGTATTCAAGTCTTTAAAATCCTCATCTCTAGTTGAGATGAAGAGTTTTGCTAAGAAAGGCTCAGTAATGTGCTGTTTTATATTAACAGGAAACAGAACAGCAGTAGTGGTTTGAATACCCTGCAAACAGGAAGTTTGACACATGCATAGCTCTTAGCTTCTGTGTAAGAAGTTGTTGAGCTCCTTCTGGAAAAATTTTTAGTTACTTTAAGTAAAGTGTAAATACTCATGAATGGCAGCGTACAGAGAACTATCTGGTAACCAGTGTACAGGTACAACAGCTCTTCAGAAATTGGAAGGTTTTGCTAGCCGTTTATTTCATAGGCACTCTAAAGGTACTGCACATGATCAGAAAACAGCTCTGGACAATGACAGCCTTCATTTCTCTGAATATACTGCCTTATGGGACAGATCAAGTAAGTTTTTTTTTTTAAAGTAATACATTATAACTAGAAGCTAAAATGCTGATTGGAGTTTTAGAATCAAATATAAAGAACTATGGTTTGTTTGTCTTTTTATGATTTGCATAAGGACATTTTGCAAAATGAAGTTGAAAGAGTTCCACAGAAACTTGATTATAAGCTGAGCCGAACCATATAGTTCATTGTTTTGTTTTATCTACAACTAGTTATGTTGAATATTAGTGGGAAACATCTACAGAATGTTTACATCACTTCTATTGTATGTTTCTGGGTTTTTTGCTTGTATTTTTTTTTGTTCTTATATAAAAGTGAAATGGCTAAATTTTGGAAAAAATGATCAGTTTATTTAAAAAAATTTGGATGTAAATAAGTCTTAAAATTAGAAAGAAGGGAGATTCTTAAATGTTTAATTAAATGTTTGCCAATTTTTGTTTTTAAATATATGTGTGAAAGTTACTTCAGTTTTACAAGCAGGAGTTCTAATAGCAAAACAGTGTGGTTAGTCTATGTAAAATCTTATAACAAAACAATCAAAAACATTCATAATTATATTTAATGTGATTTATAATTATGGTTAGAGGGGGAAAAAGTTGTTTACGCATGTATCACATTCTTTCCAGGCATGTTAAAATGTTTGGACTTAAGCTTGCTTTGCTAAAATGGTGATATGTGACTATTTTTAGTGACATATACTTTAAAGTATGTATTTCACATATAAACAGTATCAGTGCTTCCATTCCACATACCACTTTGGATCCTCCCTAAGGTAGTTTTGTCACTCTGATTAAAGGAACAGTAGAATTACCCTAGTACTCTATTGGTTTTTTTATGTCTGTTTGCTCATCCAACAGCAGTAGGTTTTGCCTGTTTTAAAAAATTTATTCCATAGCAGTTAAGGAAGAAAACTGAGTTTTAACAAAAAACAAGAGTGGGTTACAAAATTAATTCTTGGTATATATAGTACCTTCATAGTTTATCAGTAGAAGCTTATTGATTTTTTTTAACTCTATCAGAATTTTGTTTTCCCTTCAAGCTATTTTGGGGAAAAAGTAGAGAATTTGTATAATTTTTTTACTCTAGAGGTTTTCATCATTTATAATTAATTCTTACTATATATAGCAAGTTAGTAGGTGAGGAATCTCAAATATCTTCAAGCTAATGAACTAATGAATATTGAAATAATAGTTCATTATTAAAATTTACCATGCAACAAAAGTTTATTATTCATTCTATTTGCCTGTTCTGTTAACTTGCCAAGGCCTCTCCTAGGGCCTTTGGAAATCTTTATTATACATTTAAAAAATATTAAAAATTCAATGAGGAAAAAAAAAGTTCAATGAGAAATGAGGACATTACTGAACTAGTTTCTGTTTCATTAATACCTGTTCCTCCAAATAATGGGTATTTAATCAATGTATCTTGAATGAATATCATGGACTTTTTATAATTAAAGGTAATGGTTGAACTATACTTGCGCCATTTTTAAAATGCATGGGGCCTCTGATGTTTTCTGAAACACATTTTAAAATCTATCAGTGGAAGATACTAATTTTGAGCCATGATTTCTTCTGGAAAAAACACACTGATAAAATACTGTTAACATTTTTTATCATGCTGTCACCAAATAAAATAATCCAGAACATGTACACAAGTAAAATTAGAGGAACCTTGTAATTTGCCATTAATAGCATGATATAAGAAGTACTTAAATAATAACTGAGTGTTCATTAACCAATGTTGTTTAACTCTCTTCTCTCTTCCATATCCCCAAAATATGAAATGTATACAATAATTTCATATATGTAATGAGTATGGTAAGCTTGAAGCTCTTGATTCTGGTTATGGGATCTCTTGATATAAAGGAGAAAACACTGATATAACAGATACAGAGGAATTCTATCATTGCAAAATTCCAAGGTTTATTTTTGTGGCAAAAAGACAAATTTTTATTCATTTATAGAATAAGTTATGGAAAGAGTTTTCACTATATGAAGATTTTACACAAACCACATTCTTCAAAGCTACTTAAAGCAGCTTACTTGCATGACTTGTTTGACAAGAAAAAGTAATGTAGTATCTTCCGATAATAAATACTTTGAATATGATTGTTTCAAAAGTGCTATTTTAAGAAATCAACTAAACACAGAAGCTAAAAAATTAAGTTCATAAACTATGGAGTAAAGATTAATTACCAATTTAGGCATGCTTGGAACGTAACAAGTTTTAATCCAAGTTTCTTTCTTCTTCAGTGACCTTAAATACAGAAAGAAATGCAGAAGGAAGGCCACAGTGGTTGGTTTCCAGGTGCCTTGAGTGCGTTTCATCTTCTACTACTAAATTAAGTAATAGGAATTCCTATTTGATAACATAAATATTTAACAGCTGATTCCATGCACATATAAGTACATAAAGTTCAAAAGAAAAACATTGGAGGGATTCTGGTTTTTGTTCTGATTCAAAATGAATGGGAGTTTTTATTGAGTTCTCTTTCTAGCAGATTTATTATGGTTTTTAATAATTCCTTTCATTTTAAATGGTATATTTAAGTTATATAATAACAGATTTGATGAAGTTTTGCACATTTTAAATCTTTGACTTTATATACTTAATGTCTAATTACACTATTTTAAGGGCTGAATAGGTGAATAGCATCAAAAACTTTACCTATCCTTCTTTTCCATGAATTGGCAGACTATTTTTCTGGCAGATACAAATCCATATTAGTTAATCTTAGATTTAAATACTGTATTGAACAAATGAGCAATTTTGGGTTTGGATTGCTTCAGGTGGAATCACATAGCTAAAATAGTTCTAACAGACCACTTTACCTAAGTCAGTTTTTCCTCTCCAAAGTTCATGCAGTCTTTAAGACAATTCACTTCTATGCATATTTCTTAGTCAACTGAATCTGCAGCACTTTAACTTCTAAGCTAGAAAACCTCCCACATTTCCTTTTTATCTAGTTTTTTCACTTGCAACTGTTCCATAAGCTTCTGGATAATAATAAATTTTTATTCATTCAGTGAACTTTTTTGAGTATTCGTTGTATCAGTCTATAAACAAGTCTCTGGTTACCCTCTAAAACAAGAGTAAGAAGAGCAAACACACAAACAGCAGTTCAAGGCACAGTGAAATGGTTGCCTAAAAATGCCTAAATAGTTTGCTGGGGGAGTTTAATGTAAGAAGTTAACACTGAAAAGAAGGCAGGGCCCTGGCTGGTGCGGCTCAGTGCATTCATTTAGCGCCGGCCTGCGAACCAAGCGGTCACCAGCTCCACTCCCAGTCATCACAGGCCTGCGTTGCAGCCCCAGGTCCCCAGTGGGGGCACATGAGCACTTTCTCCCTCCCTTTCCCTTTCTCTAAAAATAAATAAGTAAAATCTAAAAAAAAAAAAAAAAGATGAGGCCTTCAAGAATATTGAAGAATGAATAGAATTTTCAGTCTCAGGAGGAACAGGTTGTTTTATTATAGGAAAATAACATAAATTTGTGAAAATGTAAAATTTAGGATTCTTAAAAGATACAATATGATGTTGTCCAGAAAAGTAGTCTGTGGCTCTGATCTCAACACTATGGGGTATTGGGAAGGAACAGCCTTGACCAGTGTTCAAAGGATTGATTTTGTTAGAGCATTCCCCCAAGGTAGTAGATACCTACCAGCCTTGCATTTACATAATTAAGTTGTCCAATGAAGTGATTCTTCCCATATCAAAGATCTGTTTCAAGCTAACTCTCTCTAATTAGGTAGAGAAGCACTTGGCAACTTTTTTTTGTTGTTGAAATCTAATTTACATATCATAAAACTTAACTCATTATAAGTGTACCATTACTAATAAGTTTAATAATAAATTCATAGAGTTGTGCACTTATCACAATTCAGTTTTGGAGTATTTCCACCACCTCAAAATTTCTTTTGTACCCTTTTGCAATCAATTCCCACTTTTACCTCAACCTCAGACAAACTCTGATCTGTTTTCTCTCCCTACAGATTTCCTTTTCTGGATTTTTGTATAAATGGAATTATGCAATATATACTCTGTTCTTTCTGGCCCCTTGCACTTAGAATTGCCTTTTGATATTCTCCCATGTTATAGAACATATCAATAATTCCTTTTTATTATTGAATTTGACGATGTTGTTTGGATATAATACATTCTATTTATCAACTCAACAATGGATGAACATTATGATTATTTCCATCTTGAGCTTATTTGTAAAATGTTGCTATAAACATTTGTATACAAGACTGAGTGGACACATGCTTTCATTTCTCCTGAGTAGATATCTAGGAGTAGAATTGCTGGGTCATGGGGTAAGTTTGTGTTTATCTTTTTAACTTCCAGGGTTTTTTTTCTAAGTGGATTTACCATTTTACATTCCTGCTAACAGGGCTACAGTTTCTTTACATCCTTGTTAATACTTGGTACCTTCAGTCTTTTTGATTATAGCTGTTCTGGTGTGTATGAATTTGTAGGTATTTCACTGTGGTTTTCAATTTGTATTTCCCTAATGATTGATGATGTGGAGCATATTTTCCATGTTCTTATAAGCCATTCATGTATCTACTTTGGGGAATTGTGTTTTTAAATCTTTTGACCACTTTCAAAGTTGAGGGGTTTTTTTCTGTCTTCTTATTATCAAGTCTTAAAAGTTGTTATATATTCTGAACACAAATTCTTTACCACATACATAATTTGCAAATATTTTCTCCCAGTCTATGACTTGTCCCATTTTCTTAAATGATGGCCTTGAAGAGCAAAAGTTGTAATTTTAATGAAGTCCAATTGATCATTTTTTTTCTTTATGGATTGTGTCTTTAGTGCCAGATCTTAACAAATCTTAGTCTAACTCATGGTAATGAGATTTTTATTCCATGATTTCATCTAGAAATTCTTTATTTGAGTTAAATTTTTGTGTGTGTGGTGTGAGCTATGGAGTGAAGATCACCCCACCAACTGCCCCCCCATATAAATATCCAATTTTTACTGTTCCATT